AGTGGTCAGATTAATCATTGGTCAGTGGTCAGATTAATCATTGGTCATTGGTCAGATTAATCATTGGTCATTGGTCAGATTAATCATTGGTCATTGGTCAGATTAATCATTGGTCATTGGTCAGATTAATCATTGGTCATTGGTCAGATTAATCATTGGTCATTGGTCAGATTAATCATTGGTCATTGGTCAGATTAATCATTGGTCATTGGTCAGATTAAACATTGGTCACTGCTCAGATTAATCATTGGTCACTGGTCAGATTAATCATTGGTCAGTGCTCAGATTAATCATGGGTCATTGGTCAGATTAATCATTGGTCATTGGTCAGATTAATCATTGGTCACAGGTCAGCTTAATCACTGGTCACTGGTCAGATTAATCTAGGTTGGTAAAAAGCTTTAAGGAGAGGCATCATTCAAAAACCAATCAAGTTCAATCTGGTTGTTTCTAGACTCAAAGCTCCAATAATAATTTTTTTAACCCAATTTCATTCAGCCCCCAAAAAACCCTCACACTACACTGGTGATTATTACATTGTGTTACATAATACTGGAGTGAAATCATACATTGTATGTATTACATTCTGTCAAGGCTCATTAGCAAACTGGGACTTCTTTTACACAAGTCACTAACCTGTCTCTTCTAAGTTTCACTGCCTTGACATCACTAGAAAAATTCAACTCTATGACACACTTCTTCTTTAGGTCATCCCAAACCATCACTATTAAGTTAAATTGAAACATTAAGTAACTATATGTAAAGCCTTTACATGTACATATGTACATGTGTATGCTTAGGAGAAAACGAAAAAGAAAACCATTCCACTAATATATGACTGTATCAGTGTCACAACAGGGCAAATGCTATGACTGTGTCTAACAAATTTTGTGCACAATCTAATTCCATCCTGCTTGATTAAGAAGAACAAATTACTAAAACAGAGTGTTAAATACCATTAATTTTACAAAACTAACTCAAATAAAGTGATCAATTAGGAAAAAAATTAAACAAATTCAGGGAAAGATCCCTAACTTAGTTAGATGCAGAGGTAGTGAGTTAGTGTAATTAGAGAAATTGGCACATGTACAGGGCTTGAAATTAATTTTTGAAGCACTGACCCTTCGGGTTAATAAACATCTTTTTTACTAACCAAATTATAAAGTTTGGTGGTATCCAAGCTCACAAGTTACAATATCTCAAATATTCAATATTCAAGTTACGATATCTCAAATATTCAACGACTAAGACAAATTAAAGAGTAGCTAAAATTGCATGGTGATCTTAAAAACATTGACAATTATGCACTTATTTTATTTCCCTCTCATTTACCATGATTAGTCAAGAACAGTACATCTACAGCACATTCTCTAAAAAGAGTTAAGTTGATTTAACAACTTGAGTATTCTAAGTATTCCTCTGAGAGTCGGGTCTACGTGCTCTTTGTCCCGAAGTCCACCATTGGTTAAATATGTTAGAACATTTTACTAACCATGTCGGGTTAGTTGGACACATTTTTAGTAACCAAATGTTAAAAATTACTAACCATCGGTTAACGGGTTACCATTAATTTCGAGCCCTGATGTACCTGTAATATTATACATTTAAAGTGCCTATAACCCCAAAAATGTTTTATTAGCCATATTAAACTTCTCTATTGCACTGAGCAAAATGCCGCAAAAAATTTTGTGTTAGGTTAAAACCGCGATTTTTTGAGAATTTTCAAAGCCGTGGAAAATCGCATTTTTTCAAAACATGACAGAGGCACAGAATTATCAAGATGGGTCTGGGTCGAACACAGTTTGTGACATCATTCCAGGCTTTCCAATGAGTTTGCTTCAAGGACTGGATGAAGTATCTTGACAGATAGGCCTGATAAGTGCGTTGATTTAGGATGTAGCAACACTCCCAACAAAGAAAAATGAATAGCACTTCATCTGATACCTTTTTATGGGGCAGATGACCCAGAGAAAAAACAGAGAAGAAAGAAGTGGGTTGACTTTGTGCAATTGAAGCGTGCACATTGGAAGCCCACAAAATACTCGGCTGTGTTCCAACCACCTTCAAGAAGAAGACTATCCAGTCATGTTTTCTGCTCTGACTAGCGAGACCATGCAACAAAGGTTGCAAAAAGATGGAGTTGGAATTTGTGTCTTTCCGACTGTTCACGCGTGGAATGTTGAGGAAACGAAATCAGCTAAAAGCGAGCGAAGTAAGAGAAAGGTGAGAAAAATTTACCAGATCAGGCTTAGGTTTCATCTGGTTGGGAACATATAATATTGACTGAGATTGGATCGGAGCACCACTGCCAATGGCCTGGAATGACATCACTAGCCCCAGTCTCTGGTTCACTGAGTTGTTCCAAAAATAAACCCGACTTTAAAAAATCATAAAAAATCGCAGTTTTAACCAAACACAGAGATTATTGCGGCATTTTGCTCAGTGCAATAGAGATTTAATATGGCCAAAAAAATTTTTTAGGGTTATAGGCACTTTAAATAAGCACTTAATCACAGGGAAAATACACAGATACGTGTTATATTCACAGAAATTTTAAGGATTTTCTTCTTTTCAAATGATTTAAATGAGGGTTAAAGAAAGTATAAAAAATAATAACATCAATAAAATCTCCCACCTTTGTTCTTTGGATACTTTGGGTTTTGTCCACCTCCAACAAGTGCCAGATAGTTACATCGAAAAAGCATTTCCACATAGTTGATACCACCATCTGGGAAATCTGAAACAGATTAACCATGGAAGCAAATTTTAAAGAAATTATTCTGTCAATGCATAATCGGAATGTAATTGATAATATAATTTTGAGTAACTAAAGAAATAAATTTTATTTTAATCTCTTCCTCTTAAAAATTCGGATTCACTAAGAATTTATAATTACTTTTTAGTTACACAACTTTCAGAAGCTGAACCAGTTTTTTCAAACAGTTATGATGTATATCAGAGAGAAATTCAATTTATTTATTTATTTTTTTTTTGCATGACATAACAATCAAAGCATGTCCATAGAGAATTCCTTAAGACTCATTAACCCATTGACGTCCAGTGTGCCCGTATGCGCCCATGGGGACCCACGCCCTTTCTACGCCTTGTGACGTCATCACTTTTAACCCTGGAGCACGAATTTGAGCACCTACTTGAACAGGTTGAAAATATCTTACAGACGATACCAGAATGAGCGCAATTGAGTGAAGGAGATTGGAGAAATAGCCAAAAAACCGTGTCACTTTGACCTGAAAATCTGCACGAAAATCGTGTTTCACTACCCACCTACCTTTCCGAGCATGTGCTTTGAAAATAATGAGTAGTTTCTGAAAAATCTCTACACCAAAATGAAGCCTACTCAATTTCCAGCAAGTGAGGAGAAACTTCAGGCAAGGAGAGGGGAAAAAAAGGGCAGGAGAAAGAGAGAAAAGTAGAAGTCGTAAGTGGGGCATGACTTTTCAACCCAAAAACTATGTCGAAATTTTGCTCTCTGCGCGTGCCCGAGATTTTCAGGCCGCCATTTTGCATTTGGATCGAAAGGCCGTCGAGTGCACGAGCTGTCAAGTGGTTTTTGGTAAGTT